GGCTGTGTGCGAGTTTTGCTCCTGAGAGCTGGCTAATCTGGTAGCTGAAAATGTGGTATGATGAGAAAGTGCTTTGCCAAAAAAAAAAAAAAAGAGAAAAAGCCTCCCACGCCGGGAGGAGAATGAGGACCTCTCTGTTTTGCCGAGAGATCATCCTCTCAATTCTTCCCGTCAGAAAATCTCCAGGCGACCCTCCACTTCTCTTGTCGCTGCCAGCGCGCAGGCTCTATCGGGACTGCCAGATGCGGGAGCCACTATGAGGCCGTGCCAGGCCCGGGATTTACCGCGATGCGTCTGATGTGCTCCATCTTTTTTTTTTTTCTTGGGGGGGGGGGGGGGATAATTAAAAGAGGAAATGGTGTTGGAAGAACAGAGTGGAGACGTAGGGATTGGACGGAGCAAATGGATGCAGCTGTCAATTATGTTGAATTGTTGATGTGTGTGTGTTTTTTTTTTCACTTTCTCTTAAGTTTTTTGTTGAACAGTTTCTCATCTGGGTTTATTTTTTAAAAGTTTTGTTAAATTTGCACTCAGAACATGCCATGAGAAAATATTTCAACAAAATACAGACCATGTCGTAAAAAAAGTATTTAAAGAAAGTACAATCTGTAACTATTTTAAGTATATCTTATGTAAGATACCTTAAATCACATTTTTCCTTTTCTTTCTCATAATAGGTTATGTTGTGTGGAGATTTTGTTTAAAACAACACAGTGGCACAAGAATGGGGAAAAAACAAACAAACAAAGAAAGCAACAACCCAGATAGGTTTGTGTTGCTAAACTGCTTGATCAGTGTTTGAGATTTGCACCGGCATGGGGCCGATGATGTTTAAGTACTAAATTAAAGGGCTATTTCGCTGCTTTTCTCTGAAATCTGAAATGTTTTATCTGGCGTCTCTAGTCAAAATAAGCTTGCTTGTTAGCTTCTTAACCCTGAAACAGTTATTGCCAATTAAAGATTCATCGCACCTTGTTGCAGATTTATTTTATTCGATTGAAAGGGGCTCGTCATGCAAACTACTTCCCAGCACAACACTCCTAATAAACGGCATAATGGAAAAGCATTTTTGTATGACGAGCTGAAAGAGCACGAACTTCTTAAAGAGACATAGACCAAATTTTAAGGCATCAAATTGCAAAGTCAGATTTCTTTTAAGTTGCATACAGAATTTTTATAACAACTCAAGTTGACATTGTTATTTGATTCTGCTGTAAAAAGGCACTATGTGCCTGGAAAATATGTAATATCACCCATTTAATAAGTGATTTTTCTCATTACTTCAGTCACATTTTATAAATAGATTAGGTGGATTTTATTTAAGGTAAAACAGTAAAGACTAAATACATGTACATGCTTCAATTTTCAACTTTTCAAGTGCTTAAATCACATGTCCTCTTCCTGTCACTGAAAATGAAAAACCCGAAGGGCCCTTAATACTTCATAAGACACTCTCTGTATATACAGCTGAAACAAGATATTTACATACACTGTACAAATCTGACTGTGAATCAGACACAACTAATTTCACATTTCAAGCAATTACGAACATGTTTTGGTTTGAAATGTTTGCATCAACCCCAGAACAAAAGCAAAAAGGTGTCAGTAGTCGTTGTTGTACCAACATGAGCTGGAAAGCCGCTCTCAGAGGAAGAAGCCGTAACTCCTAAAGCAAAAACGCATAAAACGCCAGATAAAAACAAAAGACTTTAATGTCCTGTAAACTAACTCACATAAATATTTGACCATAATGGCTATTTTTATGTTGAGCAAACGTAGAGGGAAGTACAGGAGGAATCATGTTGTGTTTTTGCTGCAGGAGGGACTGGTGCACTTCTAGATGACACCATGAATAAAGAGATTAATGTGGAGATGTCTATGCTGCATCTCAAGAGATGATCCTAAGATTAAAGCCAAATTAATTACAACAAAATAAAGTGGAGGGGCCTAAACAAAATCCTGATTTTTATACCAAAGACAATTTGAGGGGTGTCAGGAAAGGTCAGAAGAAATGGGCCAGAATTTCAGCTAAGTACTTGAGAATGCTTGACCCAAGTTATGCAGTTAAAAAGGTAATTACAGCAAATATTAAGGGAATCTTTGTCAAGTTTTCACTTTGAAGAAAACGATTTAAACAAATCTAAACACCTGTCATTGTTCTACCATTTGGAATAATTTTGTCATTCTTACCAGACTCAAAACAGGAATTTAATATTTTTCTACAACATATTTAAATATCTGATTATGCTAAATTTGTCATGTTAGTCCATTTTGCACAGTTTGGCGCCATCCAGGTGTTTTTTTTTCCTACTGCTCTGAATCTATTTCAAATTCTCCACCATGCAGCATGACCCAAACTCTGTTAAAAAAGCAGGACAACTTCTTCTTCTCTCAGCAGATGAACACCCAGGAGGGTGGAGGTGGTGGTGGTGGTGGGGAGTGATGGCTTTCAGCTGCTCTCACTCCTCATCTCCACGCTCTGTTTTGACGTGGCGCATCTCCCACACCCCGAAGCTTTAAAGGTTTAAAGAGCAACTTTTTCACCCTGTAATCCAGGTGCCTTTCAAACAAGTCACGCTGTTTACTGACACATGACAAAAAAGTTCAACCCCCTCCTCTCATCTCCGCGCTTACAAGACTGTAACTCACCCCCAGCGCTTGGTAGTCATTCCTCCAGAGCGCCCTCCCGAACAAACAGAGCCGCTGCGAGAACAGGCCCCTGCCTTTCACCCGCTCCCTAAATTCATAATAAGATCTGATGCTGTTGTTCACTTCTTCAAATTTGTCATCAAAGCAAATGTGTTCTGACAACAGCTAGTGACAAGTGCACCAGAGGAGAGGCGGCAAATCAGCTCTTTCACACCGCATATCAATTATTGATCGTGTCGCTCCCCTTCCCTCCGCGGCCCCTGCCACCCCACCAAGTAGACACCTTGTGATAATGAAACGCATCAATTTAAAAAATAAATAATAAACCAGGTTCTGCTCCATTGTTGCGAAGCCTTAAGAGCTTGATTGACTGCCTGCACATTTTCCTCGTTGGCAGTCAGGCAGATCAAAGGGAGGTTCCTCTCATTGCCCAAGGCCACTTGCAATTTATTTAGAGGAGCAGTGCTGCCGTCCCAGCAGGTAACATTATTGGGCAGGGACACTCAGGATAATCAGAGCTTTGAGGTGCCTCTCAAATCCCACCTCTGCTGCTTCCATCATGCATGCACAAAAAGTATGTGAAGGGGGTTTGCAAAAAGCCTCCTTTATTAAAGTGAATTAGGACCACATTGGGGTCCTCACACCGGAGGACCCAGCTGCTGCCACAAACTCCACTCGGCCTAAATGTGTTGAGCTGCATCAGCACAGGGTGCAGAGTACAGTCTGCATCAGATTTTACTTCTCGGTTTCAGTCGTTTTTTTGTTTTTTCCCCTAAGTGGTTTTAGGAAGATTTTGCATAAAAAAATTTAAGCAGAATATCCAAATATTATTTCCTTGATTTGGTTTTGATTGGTTGTTGGATCATTTTGCTATCTGTAGTTTTTTAAAACTGATTTACACAGTATTTAAAAAAAATATCAAGAAATGCTTCAGCTCTTATACAAATATTCTTTACATGATTTATTTAGTAGTCTAAAGTGTGAAAATAACGCCAAGACGTATGACTTTATTGTCATTAAAATAAAACAAAACAAAAGCTGTTGATTTTAAAGCCATATTTATATCGAAGAGGCAGGTTTTATTTCAAATTTGAAAGCAATAAAGACAAATACATAATTTAAGTGTGTAGAAGGAAACTAAAGAGAACAAAAAAGCATCAGAACCAAAATCAAATTTTAGTTTTCCAGTTTTACATTTCATGGAGATTTAATTCCATGTGGCAGAATGTGGAGGAACAGCTGTGATTTTTACAATTCGGTATCAGAAATTCTTTAAACATGTTTAAGAAATTTGCACTTAAATTTATGTGACATTAATTATATAAATATGCACACCTTTGAAACATTGAGTAGCACCTGTTTTAGTTAGTTTAAATATGACCACTTTCACACTCAGTTGAATATAATCTTAATGTCACAAAGCAGTGAAAATATTGTGCAGTTTCTCAGATATTTCTTCAGTTTGGAAACCTCCAGCTCGTGTTTGACCAGGGTTTATTTTTATTTTTTATTTTAACCTGTGACTAAATACAGCCCAGGCTTCTTTTACAGGTGCTTGTGCTGCCCTCATGTGGAATGATGCCCTGGGTGATAAGCCATGTCACCAATATCAAAATCATCCATATCATCATATAGCAATTTTACGTAAAAAGCACATTTAAAAATATCATGAATACAAAAAAACATGAGAATAAAAACCACAGTATGTGGACTAAAAGACAGAAAATATGTGGAAATGAACAATAGACAATAAAGTTGTAAAATAAAGTATAAATTAAATATAAGTGTATATATTAAATATAGGCCTGACATTAAATAGTCTTTGGCATCATTTGGTCTACTGGAATAAACAAAAATGATGAAAGCAAATGAAAATGTGGCATGATTGATAAAAGACACACAAAAAATAAAATAAAATGAAAACAACAACAACAACAAAAAAACCTGAATATGAATACAGAAGTAAACTCACACTGGTGCATTTCAGTTTCTGACTGGTTGAAACTAAAACCAGTCGGTTTCCCAGTCGGCTCCAGGCACTAGAGGGCACTAGAAGCCAGAGCATTTTCTGTCTGCAGGGTTCCTGTTTCAAGTTCTTTCCACAACTGTTAAAGCTCCCAGCAGCTCGTACGCGCGTCTGCTTGCTTGCATATGTTTGGACGCGAGCTCGGACTCTTATGCATGTAGACACGAGCCGTACAATGGCACGATTTCACGCGGCTCAGCCTCTTTGTGTGCCACTGCCACATCTCCTGTTTGTTCTGACGCCTATCAGCGGTTCGACAAAGCTCTACCACAGGGAGGAGTTGGGGGGAGAAAAAACAAATCACTAACAGGCTGACACGACCTGTGTCCCAGCAGCAGCTCTCATGCTGCTCGTCCATAACGCGCAAGTGTAGCTGCGGGCGCATGCTGTGGTGTCAGAGTTGTTGTTTTAGGTTGAGCTTGTTTCAAACAAACTTTGGTAAGCACACACACACACACATGGTCGAACAAAGTACCAGACAGACAATAATCTGGTGGCTTTGTAGCAGTTTCAAATCCACAGAGTGTGTTTTTGAACTGTTTATGTAGACGCCGACTGAATGATTGGAGCAGGAACTGCAGGACTGCAGAGATGGTGGTTCCACCATAGGGTCTGGCACAGCCTGGGCCTTTGTGCAGGGCTGCTTGTTGAAAAGGTGCCGGTGCTCTGATCTATAAGCTAATGTGTGCTCATATGGCATACGTTTGTTTTCAGGCTTGCAGTGTAGGAATCTAAATTGAGCTGTCCGTTTTCTTTCACGATACCTAATGCAGAACATGTTAGATTCATGCCGTCTGCTTTCCGTTTCTACTGGGAGTCAACTGTGAAGCAATAAAGAGATGCTCAAGATTCAATCAGGTATGCTAAGATTGGTGCACAGTTGTTTTCTGTTGGAAGATGTGGTAGCGAGATGCATAAAGAGGAAGCCTTGGTAGACGTGAGCGAGGCCCTCTGAGGTGCCGCCGTCCCCGGATGGGCCCTCTGCAGCGTTCCCGGAAGACGGCGAGCGTCTGTCAGGAGGGATTCCAACCAAATTAAAAAACAATGATCCACTAAGGGAGAAACTAATGCCAGTTTCCATCATATCAAGACCCACATTCCTCACTGTTTTGCTTTTGACTTTTATTATTTTTCCCCCCTCTCTGTATATCAGACTTTCTTTCCTTTTCTCCCTCCGCACTGTTGTTTTCTAGTTTGTTTTCCATCCGCGCTCCTCTGGCTGTCGCCGAGCGCTACAGCCACTTTCAAAGGCTCGGCTGTCACGCGCCGCCTTTGAGTCCCGTTTGAAATTTTAACGTACATGTTGTCAGGGTGCCGTCAGGAGTGATTGACAGCTCCGTCCCAGAGCAACACCGGGCTTGGCAGGCTGGCTGTCTTTTGTCAGAGGGAGCCGAGGAGAAGCAACAAAGGAAGGGAGCAGGGAGGGGAAAAAAAGGGAGAGAAAACATACATAAATAAAACAAAACTGCTGTTATCCATCTCTCAATAAAGACCAAATTAGATTAATCTTGAGGTGGAGAAAGGCGGGCAGGAAGTTGATATTTTCCCCCAGCTTTGTTCCCTACTGTTGATGATTCACTGCTCACATAGTATCTCAACACGACATCACTGAAACAGTTTGTATAAACACCAAATTAAAGAAAATTACAAAAAGAAGCATTTTTATATACACAGACACAGAAAAGTTGTTGGCATCCCCTGATAACGATGTGTACAAAACCTTTAAGTCATCATATCGCAGTATCATTATGTCACGCTAATGAAATCTGAAAAATCCAACCTAAATAGTTTACTAATTTGATTCCACTTTGTGCTGCTCTGTTCAGTTCAGTTTTTCTCAGATGTCAGAGCTGAGAACGATGTCACACTCGAGTTCAGAGCATTTCAGCTGGAATGGATGCAGTTGGAGTCATTTGTTTTGGTAATATTTACATTAGCAATCTATAATAGAAAAGGGATATTTTAGAGGACTATGTGTGCTTCTCCTTAAACCGGATGGATCTCCCCTAAAGAGTTTGAAAATACTTTTGTATTGGAAACTTTCACCACCGTCTACATGCAGTCAGCCATATTGGGAGTTAAATTCAAATTCTTCTGCGACTTCTGACTTTCCAAGCTGGAATTTGAACTTTAGAGGGTGTTCTTGTTGGTTTGGAAAAGATATTATATGACATTTCTCAGGGTTGAGGGTGACAAAGAGAAGCATGTTTGGTGATACCTCTCTATATCAGGGATCTTCTGGTCCAGTCGTGGATGACATGCAAAGAAAATCATCAAGTTTTTGTCAGGATGCTGAGGAGGAAATTGAGATCTTTGATTTAGCCATGCTGGACTAGTAATAGGTGTAAAAGTGGTGGATGGCAGCACCGGTCAGCCGGTCAATTGATTTGTTCTGATTTCCTTTTGGATGATTGGCAGTTGGCCAATATTTGCAGGTAAAACCAACCTTAGTAGAAATCTTATGAACATTTTTTTTTTAAATGTGAAACTGAAAGATGAAAGGAAGTGGCATTTCAAAGTTTAGTTAATTTAGTTTGGGCAGCAAAGCTCTAAACTTTTTATTTCTATTTGAGATTAAGCAAGTGTGTACTGTTTTATTGTTAAATAAAATATGATTGAAGGCGTATTATAACAACTGATAGTGTCAGTTATTAAAAAAAGAGAAAGATATTAACTCCAAATTCAGACCAGCAACTCAGGCATTTTAAATATCAGTGAACCGTGATTCGCCAGAAAACTGTAATCGGTGCGTCCCTGCTTTCAAACCCCAGCTAGATCATTCACATTCCTCGAAAGAGGAATATGTGCAACATTTAGCTGCACATGTTCCTCTTTCGAGGAAAGAGCAGCATTTGTTTTCTGCAACATTTAGGTTTCATAGCTGAGGTGGGCATGGAAGAGGCTCCTGTTTCTGCTGCGATTTGGCTTTTTGTTTCAAAATATCGAGCTGAAAAATGTCCAGAGTCAAGCCCAACATTTCTTAAAGTGGACTTCTGTTTATTCACAGGGATAACGCACCAGAACTGTCTACGAAATGATTTCAAGACATCCAGAAACAACTATTATATCTGCCTATTTTTAACAATTAATAGCACCAAATATCCTTTAATATGCATTAGTACTCACAAGGGAAACCGTCTTGGCGTTATTACAGATGGATAACATCTTAACATTTTCTTTATCTTCACTCTTTATGGATTACTCGCATGCATTTCATCTCTTCAATCTGAAATTTCTTTTGAATATTTTAGATCCGTTCAATGGAAAAAAAATCTGCAAATAGGCAAAAAAAAATTTCCCGTGAGTAATTTGGAATCACGTTCGACAAAAAAATTAGCAAATAGGTTAATCTGGAAATACCTGAGGCACAGATCCATGGAGCTCCACTTGGAGCTCATCAATAAAGACAAATCATCAAAATAAATGTGGAAACGTGCAAAGAACCTCTAAATTTGAACTGAATAAGATGTAAGATTGAAAGAGGATTCAGAAACCCTTCCAGCCTTGGGTGCTTAAACTGGGAAAAATCTGAAAACCTGTACCTCCAAAGTTCAAGCGAAAACCCACACGTTGTTTTGCACCTGTGCTCAAAACAAACAACCCTGCAAAGATATGTTGAATTTTCTATATAATTACAAATGTTCTGGATTATTTTCCTCCTGTAGATTTTATTGTATTGCAACTTTAATTCCAGACGCACCCTGCTGTCTGCTGAAGTGTCTCTGCAGCTCCCTGAATCCCGTCCTGCTCCAACCTGATCCATGGCCTCCCTCTGCAATGAGCACAAATGGAAACAGAAATACTCTCTCTGAATAATATCAGATAAATATCAAGAATAGAACTACAAGTTCATGTGGAAGTTGTGCAGAAGTTTGTTTGAACAGCGTGACTGAGCGGTAATTATTGATTCAGTGAAGCACATGAAAACAAGGGCAGCTACAAGTCTCGCCGCTTCGGGGAAAAAAAACACACACACACATACTAAAAAACAAGAAATCAGGGACGTTGACACCTCGGCTTTTTCGTACGAGCGTGAAAGAGCAGAATGGCATCAGCGACAAGAGCCGGAAAACCACAAACACGACTCAATCCTGAAAATCTTTCCGAGCAACGTGGAAAAATAAACATGAGACGGGAGAGTAAAGAAGAAAACCCTTGAAGCAATTTTAGATCCAAAACCTAAAGAATATTCGCAGTCAAATTACTTCCTGCACAGTTCCTGTCTCTTGCAAACTACCAAAAAGATGGCGTGTAAACCGCCAGAATGAAGTGTTTTATTTCAGCAACTTGTGTCAACGGTGATAGATGTGAATCAGAGCCGTGAAAAGAGCGAGGGGTGTTGCTCATGATGGGCTTGACTAGCTTACTCTCACCTGCTGAAAGGTTAGGCTGCTCCTCTGCCGGGATCTTTTTTTTTTTTTTTTAAAAGAAAACATGTCTGCTGTTTGATATCTGCTTGACATTTGACAGTCTTTTTCAGACCAATCAGACTGTGTTTTTTTTTTTTTTATGTTAGCCGCCTGGAAGAACAGCAACAACAATAAAAAAAATATACTATTGTCTGTTTCCTCAAGCCTTTCAAAGACAGCATTTTGCCACAGCTATCAACATCAGATACTGAGGGTTGCTGTGCTTATTTTTTTCTGTTTCTTTCATTTGTGCTCAGTTGTGTTTTCTTTTTCTTTTTTTTTCTTTCCTTTGGCCTGACCCAGTCCACTAAGTAACCACACTGCTACCATCAGAGCAGAACTTGAGAAAAATCACTTTCCCGGTGTCGAAAAATGTCAGCCAGCCGACCTCATCGCAGCTTCGCCACGACGCCGACCTTCTCGCCTCTCCTGCTCAGAAGAACTCTGCTTTTTGTTCTCGGTGGGAGCGTTGCCGCCATATCTGTCTTTATACTTTCACAATGCATTCTACTGTAAATTATCAGCTGTATGTTATCTTGGAGGAAGAGCGAAGACGTGGAGGGAGGCAACAAAGCCGACAGTCTCTGTAGTTACATAATTCATGTCAGCCATATTCAAATAAAATTTATCCCATTGTCAATCATTGCAAGCGTGTGTGTGTGTGTGTGTGTGTGTGTGTGTGTGTGAGCACAGTGATAAATTAATAACATCCTACCCTGGGAGCATGTGAATGAGCATGTTTAGTCATTCTGTTTGACAACAGAAAGAAACGGCCTTTCCATTGGGGTTGAAATCACTTTTTTTTTCTTCAACTTTTCATAGATATTGTTTCCATCTCTAAATGTTTAAAATCTGAAGCTCTGGCAGCAAAGTGGCTCAAACACGACTTTACAGTGAAGTAACTTTTTGTTTAGCCATAAACCAGGAGATTTTTTTATTTTTTTGTGACAAGGGACAAAGTTTATTTTGGAAAAAAAATATATATTTGATGTTTTAGGTCACATCTGCTGTATTTCACTTGATCTCAAATATATTTTCATTATTTAATAACAAACAAAAATGCAAACATTTGAGGAGTTTAACTGCACAGTTTGATAAGTTGGTTTTAAGTTGACAGATACAGCAAAAAGAAAGAATGAAAGAACATTTCAACCTTCATAAAGCTAATTGGCTGAAGCGCCTCAAAAGAATTTAATCTCTTCCAGCTTTTTGCAAAAATGTAAAGTGGAAAGAAACTGATACAGGATTTCTCCATTTCTTACATACAAAAATCTGAAATAGGTTTTTTGCGGTGGGCATTTCTAATCAGATCTCTGGAGTCAGTGCTTTGTAAAATTCATGGCAGCAGTTACAGCTTCACGTCTTTCTCGTGCGTTGTTGGTGAGACGGTTCAGGCTCCGTCACACTGGGTGGAAGTCCAGCCACAGATCTGATCTGATTGAGATCATGTTGTTCATTTGCTACATTAGTTGTTGAGAGCATTGCGAACCTCTTGACTGCTTCTCTGATGGACAGTCATGACTTGGTAAGTTTACAGTTGTGCCAAAGTCTTTCCACTTCCAGACGATGGACTTTATTGAATCTTCAGAGCTTGATGGTATTCACTAACTTTCTCTAACTAACCTCTGAGTCCTACACAGATCAAATGTCCATGTAAATATATTCGCCTGCATATATTTATCTAACCACATTGCATGAAGGCTTTTTACCTTCTCTTCTCCCCACAAGCCGTTTCTCCTGCCTGCACCAGACATGGACGTTTGTTTTGGTTGTATTTACCCACAATGCTCTGCGCTGTAGTTCGCTTCCTGCTGTTGGAGCGGCCTCTGGTCCGCTTGGCGTTCACATATGCATTCAAACCACTGCAAAGTTCACTGTAACTGAGCCAAGGCCAAGGTTAGTAGGAGTTTGATTATGCACCACCCCAAATGAATCAAACTTTTTATCCAAACTATCCAGAGTTTAATTAAATTGGATTAATGCAACCAAAGTATAGTTGGGGTCTTATTTGTGGCAAAAACACTTATTCTTCTTCCTATTCTCCTATATGTTTCACATGGGAGATAATTAAAGTTAATAATTAAGTTAAAGTTCATTCTTGAACTTTCCACTGAAGCTCAAGAAAACTCCTGTGTATCAGTACAAGCTTATAGTCTTGCATTGCATTGGTGTAGAGAGCTTTACATAGATTATTTACTTATACTTTTTATTGACACAAATTGTTATAAACATCCTCTTGAGGAAATGGGTAGTTTCATCTGACATCATATACGGACGGCACTGGGACGTCTGTCCAAGCATCTGGCTTTGCATTTAATAAAATGTGAAAATAAAAACGTAAACATCTTGAATGTGGTTCAGAGTAGTTTATATTTATTTAAGGTGATTCTTAACCTGATGCTCTTTTGCTCACGTTTGATTTTTAAAAGCAACAGCGTTGAAACAACCAGCAGAAATGACTCCTAGTTGTGGTTTCCTGCACAGAAAGCAAAATCAGGCATATGTGAAAGTTGGCCAATATATTACTTAAAATCTCCAGTAAAATCTAAAGAAATGCCATTTATTCATCTTATTTTATAAGATGCAAAGTTTGAATAACTTAACCAAACAGAAAGGTGGCTAGACCTGGACCAAAAGGATGTAATTCAAGATTTTTTCTGATGTTAAATATGAAACAATCGTGGGTCTGTTAGTACCAATCTGCCCCCAGAAGCTATTTGCCATTAAGAACAAACTACTGAGGAAGAATTCATCGCAACAACTGACTGAATGGATGATTTAAAAAAAAAAAAAAAAACGAGACACACATGCACACACTTCTCTCCTGATTTCAGCTGCAAAGTCAGCCAGCCAGGTGTTGAGTGTTTGGGAGATATTTGAAAAAAAAAGAAAGAAAAGAAAACCTGTCAGAGACAGAAAGGAGGAGTGACTGATTGAGACTCTTGAGCAGTTTACGAGCGAGAACAATGCGCCCCGAATAAACAAACCCTCACATCTTGAAGCTGGAAGAAGTCTAAAATGTTGAATATTTCAAAGTGTTTTCACTTTTCAAACAATCCGAGCCTTTTTCTCATCGGCACGGGAGGCATGTGTTTTCTGCATGCGTACCGGCACAGGCAGCTTCCCACCATATGCGCCCCTCTACCTACTTCGTTCTGTCCCGCTTTGCACAAACGCACCAACAGAAGCGGTGCCGCTGTCTAAACGGAGGCATGCCAAAACAACTCGCTCCCTTTGTCTGCTTCCTTTCCTTTTGAGTGGGTCCAATCTGACCCCTGTCTTGCACCAGGTGTGTATTTCCTTGATCCCGCACTCCTTCAACCCTCCCCTTCGTATTTACACCCCTGCCGCCCGCAATGAATGATTCACTTGGAGAGGCTCCCTTCCACCATCAGAAAGCTTTGCAACTATACACCATAGCCCAGCCTCTGTTCCTCTGATCTCGCTGTGTTGTGTAACGCTTGAAACACCCTTGCGTTCTCGTACTTGTTTCCTTTTTTTTCTCCACGCTCCCTCTCTTGCTCTTTTTCTGAGTTACATTCAGTATTGACTGTTTATGCTTTTTAATGTTGCAGAGAGGGCCCGGGGCTTGCGGACGGGGGAAAAGCGCTCTTCTTGACACACTTACGCCCCCGTAGTGAACTCTAGCTCCCAGCACTCTAGCAAGTACACAAACCTGCTTCTTTTTCCTCTCCCTTCTTTTTTCCTCTGCCTCTTTTCGTTCCCTGTTTCTTTCCTACATCTGGGAGTTCCTCTGAACGTCGGCACCCTGCGCTGCTCCACTCCAAAGATCACCTTATGGAAGATTAAGATGCTCGAATGCTCGAGCAAAATGTTTACACAATAACCCCCCTTGGTTGCATCAAAGAGGAGGCAGTGGAGTTGAGTGGAGTGATCTCCGGGGTGGGTTAGAGGCCAGTGGAGAGAGCAACAGTCACCTCTGAGCGGAGTAGGCCTCAGTCAAACCTGACAGAGAACAAAAGCAGTCTCTCCGTCTCGAGGTCCTGCTCGTGTCTTGCATCTGTCAGCCCACCTTCAGATCCCCTTTTAACTCATACTCTCCTTGCTTTTACCAATCAATAGGCTGAAAAATTTCCCGTGTACTCGTCATGAAGATGACTCCCATTGAAGGCGGTTAGCTTGAGCAGGCAGGTCAGAGCGATTTGACTTTTGCGTCGTCTAAGTCTTGGTACAAGACTGTCAGAACATGTCTGGTGCTTGGACGTATGAGTTGCATTCTCAACAGAAACGTGGGGGGGAAAAAATATGTTCAGCCGCAGTTATTAGCAAAAAAATGTTGGAATGAAGTTAAGATTGTATTGCAGTGGCATGAACACATACAAATCCAACCTTTAATGCAGATACATCCACAGTGTCAAATCTGACATTTGAAACCTTTACTAATAAAGTCTCAGTTTTGTGGTTGAAACCTGACTGAAAAGTAGCAAAGAAGTTGTTTTTTTTACTTAAACTGGAACAGTTGATAAATGACCTTTTACATTAGATATGGCTTCATGATTAGCAATCATCGAGACATCCAGATGAGTCTTTATTACCG